TTTTTATTAAAAGTAAAAATGCTGTGCCAAACAATGGCTGGATCTAAATAATTATATAAATTCTGTTTAAATTAGTACATCTGTATATTTCTAGTTCTGTACTGTCCTTACCTATTGTTCGCTGCCTCAAGTTCAAGATTTATTGACGTTATTTGAAGTTCGCATGCTTTCAATAATTCATTTTTCTCATAAGAAACCTTCTTTAACTCATCCCTTTCTTCCATAAATTCTTTTGTCCTTAGTTCTTTAGCTTTTTCTCTAAAAAATGAAACAATTCATTGTATTATCACTAATATTAACTTACGGTGTGTCTTTATTTTTACCACATTATTTTTTGCCTTACCACTAGTGAGTGGTCAAGAGGGAGTCGAATCCGATTTATTTAATCCTACCTTGCACAGGCGTGAAAAAAACGCTAGTGCTCAACGCATTGTAACAGAGTTCAATGTGATAAAACATCATTTTAAGCGATTCAAGTGACAAGACAGTATACGGTATAAATATGACATGACACTATACGACACGATGCGACGAGTAAGTTATGAATATAATATAGGGCCTACTCTACTCATCACTGCCAGGAATTGAGCATCCTATCTCTCTGCTATCAAGAGGAGTGTCATACTACTATGGGCGTTTTTTCAAAAAATTAATAAGGAACTTTTACGTTGATAAGTTATAGGCCTCCCATACGATAATTGTTCCTTTGTATGTGAAGCCGGGCACTCACTACGCCCGATGGTCGTCAGCCGATGCGATTCTATGAAAAACGCAACGCAACGACAACCGCGCAACTGATATTTTTAAAGACGATCACTCAGTACGTTCAGACTGCCACCGAAAATCAGCCAGCAGACGGCGTCGCATCGTCTAGCGCTCATGGGGAGCGGAGTTGGATTCGTCGTACGACGGCTGCACAACGCAGTAAGTGTCAGCCATAACGCGACACGATCGATGTATACACGACGCAAATCCTAGCTATACAATTGTCGGGAATTTATATGAAACGAACGTTTGTAGTTACCTTTTGTTTGCAGCTTCGAGTTCAGATTTAACTGATTCAATTTGCAATTCTTTTGCTTTCAACAGTTCATCCCGCCTCTCATAACATTCCTCTTTTTCTTCCTTTAGTTCTTTAATCACTAATTCACGAACTTCGTCTCTATAAAATATAAACAGCTCATATTTATTAGGCCTAAAAAATGTTTGTTTGACTTCCCGCCCCTACCTCACTATGGAAAATAGGGGCGGCGTTTTTTAAAAAAAGTTTTTCTTTTCGAATTTTTGTTCACAAATTCAAGAAAGTGATGTTTTTTTTTTCATTGCGATTTACATGTTAATTTTTGGTGATAAAAAAAATTGCGCCTGCCCCTCCTATACATTAATTTTATAGCATTAAAGGGCAAACAAACAATTGTTTAGGCCTTATCATTCAACTAACCTTA